GAGCGCCAGGGCTCTGGCGGCGGCCTCCCTGGGGGATTTGCCGCGCGGGGCGGGCGGAGCGCACTGCTCCGGCCGGCTTGCAGCCACCGCCGCCTCCTTCCTTCGGGCCTGCCGGGGTCTCTAGCCCCTTGTTTCTACCCCTGGTGTCCCCCAGCCCTCCCCCACCCTCCCATCTTCCCACCCGCCCCCGAGAGCTCTGCTCACTGCTCCGGCGGCTTGGAGCAATCGGGGATCCCGGCGTCTCGTTTGATGTCAAGTCCCCCCTCCCCCAGCCCTTCCCGCGTCGCGGAGGCCTGGCACACATTTCTCAGACACTTCATTCCTTCCTTCCTCGGAGCTCCCCACTGCGAGCATGTTGTCAATGATTTCACCAGATCTCATCCCGGATGGGATTCCGAGGTTCCTTGACTCTGCGTGACCTTGGGCAAGCCCTTTGTTTTAGGATGGAACGCAAGCTCAACTGCCAGACACTTGGTTAAACCCCAGAATTACCAAGATGGGAGAGGGGAAGGTCAGTGACAGCCTGTAAGGAGGCTTCACATAGTCAGCTGCCAGGTAGACAAGTCTTGGTTTTCTGTCTGATGACTGGGCATATGCCTCTATTTCTCAGAGGATTCAGGAGGAGCTAAACAAAGTAGGCGGTCACTGCTGTGTGGATAACAATATTGCTAGTCAACACACAAGATTTCACTGGGGGGGGGGGTCTTATGTGTAAGAGCAGTGATTCTATATAGATGAAAGGAGATAACAATGCTATGAACATTTAGAGTTAAGTTGCTTTTAAGTTAGTTTGCTTTGGAACCTTCCTTGAGGAAGTGGCCTGTGTTTTGTACCTTGGAAAATAGGTAGGACTGGAACATTGGAAATGTGTGCCATGGGGCTGAAGGAAGGGAGTATCTAGGGCAGATTGAGATCTTTATTCAGGGAACATTTACTAGTGTCCAGGAACCCCAAAGAGACAAGGAAGTTTAAGGTGGACACAAGACCTGCAAACATCTTGACCTTTTCTAGCTGGTGCAGAGCCAGAGCGTGTTCATGGGAGAGAAGGGACCAAGGGGGTTCTCAGGAAGATGGTCCACACCAAAGCATGGAGAGGGGATCGCAGTGTTCGGAGGCAGAGAGGCCATCTCAGACACTCAAGCCAGTAAAGAAAGTTCTCAAGTGCAGATGTGAACTGACAATCATCTGGAAACACCTGCTGCAGTCCAACTCACCTGGGCATTGACTTCCAACTGCCCAGAGACCTGAGTTTATCAGAAACTTGCTTAGTGCTCTCTGTTTATCTTACCACCTGGAGTCACAACTAAGGTATCATTATGGCTCTGATCCCATTTACCTGCTAAGCTCATTTCCATCTCCTCGACAGCCCTAGAGTTGGCAGCCAAATCTTTACCTCATTGAAGGCTTGATTTACTCACTCTTGCTCACTGAGACTCTGTATGTGTGTGTGTGTGTGTGTGTGTGTTTAACACATCACAGAATGGGTTGCTCCATCATGTTCAGAAGAAATGATGAACAATGTCTCTTTTGTTGACTGGCAACCTAGGCCAAAGGGGTAAGACTTCTTATTTTAAAAAGGTGGCAAAAATGGTGATGGCAGAAAATTGTCTTTAAAACAACAACAAAAAAAGAGTTTTTCTTGGTGAAAGACAATGAACCTATCATGTTACTCTCCTTTCTGCTGTGCCCCCCAGTAACTTCCCAAGCTTCTTAAAATGTTTCTGCCCAGCATCTGACTTCAAAACAAAACAAAAACTTGCACAAATACACTGACCCAGATTCTCCTAAGGAACTAAACCTTTCCCAGAGAGCTTGTTAACCCTTTCTAGGTTTTCCCTAAAGCTTTCTCTACCCTGCTCTGCTAGGACTTTGGCTGCTGTCTGTGATTGGGTCATCCCCTCCCTAAACTAACCCATTCTTATCTGATTCTGTTGCACCAATCCCAGCTCAGTCTTTGGCTCCCAGAAGGTTCAGAGAGGATGGTTTTTAGTTAGGTAAAGGTCTCACTGTAGGGTTTCAAGCATCTCATGAGTCAGTTACTGAGCAACCAGCAACTCATTTATCACCACTTCAGCAGTGCTTAGTCTGGAAGAACACATACACGAAACACCTTTAGATGAGGGACAGAGGGCTCAAGTATCCAAAATTTATTCATGAATTTGTACCTGGGCAAAAAAATAAAAATCTGTTGGTCTCTGATCTTTTAAATATTAAGAAGAATGGTTTTGGGTTCTTTTTTCCTGAATATATATATATATATATATATATATATATATGTATGTATGTATATATGCACACACACACACACATATCATAGAGTCCTTATTCTGGTCAGGATCAATTTGGGACTCTCCATCCTTCTCCGATGGGACTAAAAATGGAGTTTTAGAAAGTCTTCTAGATCTGAAAGGCTCCCTTTAAGACCAGCCTTTATGTATTTTTTCTTCTTTCCTACTGTTCTACCCCTACTCCCTAGCAGAGAGAACACTGTGCCCTGGATGTCCGTGGAGGTTACTTATTTGATCCCAGTGCTTCACACACAATAAATGCATCTAGGGGCTCCAACACTAGCCTCCTCCCTCCCCCACTGTGATCTCTTCGTCATATGGTATCATAAAACCACAACACAAATACCTGCATCTCCAGAGAGACTCTCCTTTGTTTCTTAGGTATCTGAATGGTCTATAGGTTTGATTTAAAGCTTCAGAAAGGAGAGAGTGAGAGAAGAAGGGAAGGGGGGGGGAAGGTATTTTGCCTGAGGACTTGGGGCTCTTTTTCTTTTTTTCTCCTCTTTTTCTCCGCCTGACTGACTTTCTCACACTCAGATTCCCTGCAGCCTGCCAGAGACGAGGTAGTTGCCTTGCCAAGAGCTATCCTGGGAGGCTATTGAAAGAGCCTTGAGTAAGCACACACTGGTCGTGTTTTCTCCTCCCCTCTCCTACCTGCTCTGCACCTGTACCGGGAGCAGTCCCACACATATCACCTGATCACCGCCCTTTCAAAGACCGTGAGAAAAATAAAGCACAGGATGGAAGAGCCATGTTTGTTATCCCTCAGGGCTGTGGCTAGCTCTTTGCAGCCTGAGTACCCAGAAACAGTACATTCCAGGCT